ATCTAATCTAATCTAATCTAATCTAATCTAATCTAAATCTGTGTGTCCATGGGTCTGTTTAATTCAATTTAGCGCCTGCGCGGAGCGTGACATTCTGCTCAGCCGATGAAATAAGAGCGTGCGAACACACAAACTGAGAACAGAAAGATTTCAGCTTTAAAAAGGGAAGAATGATTTGGTTGCCACGTTAAAGAGGAAGTTTACCGGTACAGATTAGAGAGCACGGGGAAAGGATGAACGACAAATCCTGAAAAATACCCAGAGTTAATGCAACAGTAGAATAAACTGGGGACAGCATGCAGGCGTTTTTACGTGCGGGTACAATACCATAAACGAAGATTCCGCATTGCGAAATAACACCGCCTTTAATCCGCGTTATTTCCACTGAATTGGTTAGTTTGCATATCTCAAAACCTCCCCGCGAAGCTGCTCAGGATAAACGGTTGGATTTTTATTACTTTTTGTGGGCTCATCCCTAGATTGAAAGGTGCTACTCCTGAAAGCAGACTTGAGCATTATTCCACGCAAACCCACCTGACAGGACGTAGCCCACGTCCTCTTTCTCGCTGAGTCTCACCATGAAAGCACCGTCCTTATTCTCCGGGGCCTGCAGGTGCTTCACAGTCTCAAAGCGGTTCAGTTTCCCGAAGTACCACCTGTAACGGATGTCACACCGATCCTTATTACAGCTTCAGTCAATAGCATCAGCAGCTGTTACCCGTAACTATCCAGTCGTATTAAATTACGGTTAGACATTTTAATAAGCAGATGTAAATCTAAAGTATCCGAAGAATTTGCTTAGTTTAAAAGGAGTTTTTTTCCCCTAAAGCAACTGACACACAGGCGGTAGCCAAACCCAAAAGTAACTATAGATGTTAATATTTATGGAATGCACGACGCTTAATATTGCGCTTTATTGGCTTCGTTTCACTAAACGAGTCCTGGTATCACTGGTGGTTCTAGCTTGTATGACAGCCTGGGCGAACCCCCCTGTCAACAAAAATTGTGTAGCCTACATCTCTCACCCCGCCCTCCATATCACAAAAACACTATTCGGCACGAACGGTCATTTTTATTACGAAATTTGGAACAATGCAAATAAATAATGATACATTTAAAACTTATTTTACTAATTGCTTTAGGACTGTACAAAAAATACTGTGCATTATCTGATAGATCTCCCCGCTCCACCTACCTCTGGCTCAGCGGGGCGGACCTGAGGTCAACCCACCCCGTCCCCCTCCCCCTCCTGAGCGGTAATTGACCCACACGGTGACACGATGTCATTGACGTGATGTGCAAATTGTGCTATGGAATACCGATCGCGCAAATATCACAACTGATTTTTTTTTTGGTGTGAGCACCACCGGCAAGATGCCACCCGGGGCGGCTGCCCATGTTGCTTATAGGGTGAACTGTGCAAAAGTGGGACACTTTTTGGTAAACGATTTAGAAAAATCAAATGAAAGACATTTTCTCAAATTGATATTTTTTTTCTATTAGCTGCATGTCTCCTTAAAAAGTTTTGTGTGGACATTTAAGAGTTAAGTGGGATAAAATATAGAGAAGCACCTCTCATTTCTTGATGAGCTTGTTCAGGTAAAGTGGGACAGCTCTTCTGCAAAAGTGGGACAGTGTGTTTTTTTTTATATTGAGACAACATATACTTTAATTACACAAAGCAATATTTTATTGACTAAGGAAACAAGCCATAAATAAATTCATTGTAATATTTTATTCGCAAGATCTAACTACTTCAAATAAGTACAGTGGTACTTCAGAACTCGAATTTAATCCTAAAAAGTTCGAATTGTGATCGAATTTTCCCCATAAGAAATAATGGAAAACCAATTATTTGGTTCCAGGTGTTATGCCGAAAAATGCATCTCTACCTTAGAATGCATGCCGGTGTTCTAACAAGTTGAGCTTTTAGGGTTTTTTTTGGGGGGGGGTG